TCGCTGTCTTACTTTTTCGTATAGCGCTGTCGCGATCACGATTCGGATGACAAATTGCAACTAAAACAAGTGCAATTCAATTCATTATTCAATCAATGAAATGCTCTCTGTCTTACTTTTGTGTGGCGGCTGGATTGGAGCGTCCGACGCGAAGGCGGGGCGTAGTAACTACTGTAGAAAACCGTTCAAAGCATTTTGGTCGCCAAGTGACAGAGCGCAAAATTCCGCGATAGTACGTATTTGGGCGTTTTTCCCCGCCTCCACGACAAGGGCTAACTAGAGCCGAGGTCTGAGTCTCAGAGACGCCCTCTAGTTAAACTGACTCCCTCAGGTTCGAGTGATCTGGTGGCTCCAGACAGAGAGGAGACTCCCCCCGTGGGGAGATACCATCCGCCAGGAATACCTCTCGAGACACTCGCCTATTCTCGGCTTGAGGACCCCTTAGGATCTCGCCGTCCCCAAACCCGGTGACGCTGTAAAGGTCATCTGCGACCAACAGCATACACACTCAAAAAAAAAGGAATATTGGCGGCTTGATATCATTATCAAGCAACCTAAGGTTTCTTCTTGTTTGCGATAAAATTATCTTCAAAGTGTACCATGAGGGATAAGCAGAACATTAAAGTTTTAACACCATTACAGCTACAAAATATAGTATTTGAATTTATAAATACCATATTTCAACAAGTCCCTTACCCGAACTATTATACGCCGATTGGAACCAACACAGAGATTGTGTTTATAACTTATAACCGGAGTACTTAAGTAACGTTAACTTTGAGATTAGTGAAGTCCCTCTCTATAAGCGGTCGGGACTAAGTTGACTAAGTTGCGAAGTTATTTAGCGGCGGCCGCCGCAGCCCACCGTAACTTCGACAAGTTAAATAATAACTTAATGCTAGATTTACCGTGAACAAGTTGCAGATTATAGATCTACCTATATTGGTAAATGTATATTTAAACTAAGTTAATTTCTGATAGTAAATTAGGTAGCTTATCGTGTTGAAATTATTTTTTTCATTATAATTTTTATTATTTTAAAGCATTTAACTGCTTGATGTTTAAATCTAAAGAAAATATAACTAGAAAAACTAGTGGGTTACCTATAATGCGAAGAGATGGCGCTGCCTTGCAGCTTAAGAATGGCTAGAAGAATTTCGACGCGGTCCGTGAGGGCCGCGGTAGCATAATTGGTCAGGCCATTCGCCCGGATTGCGAAGGGTGCTGGTTCGAGTCCCGTCTGCTGGCTGGTCCGCGCACAGTATGTTATGAGACCGTAAAATCGGACATTCTTATTTATTTGATGAAATCTTTAGAGCTCATTTATACAAATATGAGAGTAAAACTCCCGTTTGAAAATTCCACGTAGTTTTTGAGATATAAAAATTGAAAAATGTTATTCTTTTTCAAAAATACAATCTTTTTTTTTTTTTTTTTTACACCAATTAGCCTAGCCCCAAAGTAAGCACTGTAAGGCTTGTGTTATGGGATGCTAGGGTAACGGATAGAATACATATACTGTACATATATAAGTATATTTATATAGAAATACATATTAAACATCCATGACTGGAGTACAAATGCTCGTATTCATCACACAAACGGGACCTCTTGAGTCGGCGACACCATGAAACCCGGCGTACAAACCACTCGGCCACGGAGGTCGTCAAACTCTGTAACTAATAATATTTTGTTTAGAAACGTTACAGTACTTCATAGAACTCTTTAAACTACACGTAATAAGCGTTTTAAGTGCTTCGTAAACGCTTGCAGTTAATTAGAAAAAAAGATTTTTCTTATTTTTGTTTTTATTTTTTTCTTCATTATACCATAATATATGCAAACTTTTTCAATCGCAAGATATAGTCTGATATATATTCTAGTTGTATAAAAAAAATCAGCTTAAAATTCCGTGGTATATTTGAGAAAAAAAATTAAACCTATTCACAAAATTTTTACGCGTCTAGGGTTGACACATTTAGAAGGGATAAATTCATGTCTAAAAAGTTACAAATAAAAATACTATAACCTGTTATATTCATAGTATTTAAAGGTCTAAAAATTGATGTTCGGCGCCTGCAGTTGTTTTTAAATTTTTATTTTATATTAATGTAAATTTATTTTCAGTTGATAAAAATGTTATTTTCACATGATAGGACTGTTGTATCATTACTTGGGTCTTCGACCTGATCTTCGATACATTGTTCTGTAATATCGAACTATTATCGATCAATAGATTAAGCTTTTTGAGATCCAATAAAATTAACTCAAAAAGAGGGTCAAATCTCGGGAAGGATATCTTCCTTCATAGGATAAGCTGATATTTTTTACAAATCTATGTTTTCACGTTTTAAAGGTTACCTCATAAATCTCATAATCATATAAGATCTAGTTTCTGCGTCTTAAGTTATTTAAGTTCGAACGGGAAAAGATAGGAATAGGGAGCGAGATATTTATAAGAACGGGTTTTTCATAAATATCTCGCTTTCTATTCCAAGGTTAAAAGCTAACTGGGCTTAAGTATTTTCCACCGACATTCGACCTTTGTCATCTCTGGCATAGTCTATAATCGAACACAAGATTCAATCTTAATATGTGTGATTTTAATAAAATATTTAAACCTCCAAAAGAAATATTGCTTTTAAAAAGTTATAAGAAATTTACAATTCTATGTGACAGCCCTGGTGCATATTTTCAGTTTGTTTTTTCTCAATTAAACCACGATATTTAATGCTGATTTTTTTTATACAACTAGAATAAATATCAGACTATATCTTGCGATTAAAAAACTTTGCATATATTATGGTATAATGGAGAAAAAAAATAAAAACAAATATAACAAAAAGATTTTTTTTTATTTAACTGCAAGCATTTACAAAACACTTTAAACGCTTATTATGTGTAGTTTTAAGAGTTCTATGAAGTATTATAACGGCTCTAAATTAAATGTTATTAGTTTACGAGTAAGAATGCTTTTCATCTTATTAAAAGAAAAAAATAACTAACTTTTGATTTTTTTTATCTCGAAAACTAAGTGGAATTTCCAAACGAGAGTTTTTTTATCATATTTGCATAAATTAACTCTAAACGATTCATCAAATAAATGAGAATGTCCGATTTTACGGTCTCATAACACACTGTGCCGCGTGGAATTTTTTCTAGTTATATTTTTTTCATGTTAAAAGGGTGGCCAACAAAAGTACGACCCGCCTAATGGTAAGCGGTCACCATAGCCTACAGAAACATGCGAAACAAAAATATCACTAGGGCCGTTGCCATTTTTTTCCCCGCGGGGGAAATGCCTTACGCATACCCGCTCACTGAAAACTGGTGAGCGGGTTATGTCGGGCTCTCCCCTGCCTACCCACTGGATGAAATGTAGCTTTCCCCTAGTCAGTAGCCAAGGGCCTACCGACTAAAACCCCCACGTGCCCCATCAACTCTGGCAATAGGCGTCGCTATTGGACCGAAACCTAAAGATCACTTTGCGCACTCGGTTTCTGCTCTGCTATGTCTGGCCCATTCTTCTATACGGATGCGAGTCTTGGACAATAAAAGAAGATCTCAGGAAACGTATTGAAGCTTTTGAGATGTGGTGCTACCGACGTATGTTAGCAATAAGCTGGACTCAGCGGGTTACCAATGAGGAGGTTCTACGGCGAGCTCACCGAAAACGCGAACTTTTGCAAACCATCAAAAAGAGAAAAGTTGCATACCTAGGGCATGTGCTAAGGCACGAACGTTACGAACTGCTGCAACTCATAATGATGGGAAAAGTCGCAGGAAAAAGAAAAGTGGGCCGTAGGAAGAAGTCCTGGCTACGTAACATCAGGGAATGGACCGGGATCGCGAGTGCGGCTGAACTGTTCCGCCTCGCCTGATGGTCAACCTTCACTAGTTGGAGAGGCACCCGAAGAAGAAGAAGAAGAAGATTGGACCGAAACGCACACATAGCTAGCCGGTGCCAGTTGCCTGCCACATGAGGCAAACCCACCTCTGGAAAGGGAGCTAGGTTGCGCCCTCCCCGATCCCTTCGATAACGCGCCGCAGGACATATTGGCGAATCATCTTCTCTCATGAACCTAGTTTTTGTTGGGCCGTTGCCTACCCTAACCCTACCCTAATAATAATCCCTAATACCTAAATCCTACCAAATCAATTCAATACAATTCAAAATATCATTATTCAAATAGGAAGAATAATACAACTCTTTTGAAAAGTCCATAATTCTTGTCCCTTCCACCGGCTAAGGACATTTTTTTTATCTGTGGAGAAAATCGGACGGAAAAAAACTTCACAGCGTCAAATCTTGTAACAATATTTACAAAATATTTTATTAAATAAAACTAGTTTTAACGGGTTAATGCACGAAACTTTATTTATTGACGTTTCGCAGCCTTTTCAGGTCTGCATCGTCAGAATACTGATTTTTTATTTAATTTTCTCGAGCTACCTTCGTAGAAGGTACAAAATGTCGAAACAAAATGTCGAGCTACCTTCTACGAATTTTACTTATGTTTCGTAGAATGAGTGATTTAATGAGTGATGTGCGCGAAAACCTAAGAACCAAAAAAAATGTTACAGTGTCAATACAAAATTGGGTCATCCTTATCATAATTATAGAAACAGCCAGTTGGAACGTTTGGAACCGTTTAAACTCAAGCATATTTGTCTGAAATATAATCGGACACCTTATAATAGGCTTTATTCATAAGAACTTTATTAATAGCAGCTTTAAATTTATTGGTCGGTCATTGGATGGGTGACCAAAAATCTTCTATCTTGCGTTCCTCCGTGCTTCGGAAGGCACATTAAGCCGTTGGTCCCGGTTGCATCTGCAGTCGTTAGCAACGGCTAATCCGCATTGGGCCCGCGTGGTGGGTCATAGCCCAATCTCCCTAATCTATCCATAGGGAAGGCCTGTGCCCCAGCAGTGGGGACATTAATAGGCTGATGATGACGATGATGAAATATGTTAAATGTGTGTAATGTAAACTGACCTGCGATGAACAGCAGCCGCAGTATCGCGGCTAGCGGCACGAGCCGCATGCTGCGTCACCGCGCCATCAAACAAGCATCGAATCCCCGACCAACTGAAACAAAGAAAACGCACTGTCAATATGTGAACAAAGCATAAAACAATGAAAAATATCTAACCATATGGTCACTAGTTCACATCTTTTCTCTACCTGGTCTATATCTATATAAGTACTAGCTGACCCAGCGAACTTCATACCGCCATAAAAATAGAGGCAGGTGGTAGAAGAGAAAATTTTGGGTTGTATAAATTTTGTTAATACCACGTGATAAAAAAATAAATATTGCCCAAAAAAAATTTTAGGAGAGTTTAACATTCCTCCTAACCCAATTATGAGAAAAATACGTTACAATACCCAGTAGTTTGAATTTTGGCGCGAAGGCGCATTGTAGATTTCAGAACACTACGTTATAGGTGGACAACCATTATCACTTAAAGATATGAAAAATAGATAATAGCCGATTCTCAGGCCTACGGAATATGCATATAGAGTTCATAAAAATCGATCAGGCTATTTCGGAGGAGTATGGTAACTAACATTGTGACACGAGAATCTATATATATAAAACTAAAAGGTGACTAACTGACATAGTGATCTATCAACGCACAGCCTAAACCACTGGACGTATCGGGCTGAAATTTGGCATGCAAGTAGATATTATGACGAAGGCATTCGCTGAGAAAGGATTTTGATCAGTTCTACCCCCAAGGGGATAAAATAGGGAATGAAAGTTTGTATGAAACTTTGTCAATTTTAAACCGATCGGGCTGAGACTTTGCATGCAGGTATAAGAAGAATCATAGATGAATGTCATTGTGTATAATACAAGCCTGAGAACAAAAACTGCAGTCTACACTTCAGCTCTACACCGAAGCGAAGCGAGGGCGGGCCGCTAGTTTTATATATGGGATATAGAATTTGGAGGAGGTCGATGGCGCAGGTGGTTAGCTCGTTCAAATTGTAAGCATGATAAAACTCTTTTGAATCGTCCATATTTTTTCCATGCCACTCGTAAAGTTATTTAGCTGACGGGAAAAACGGGCAAATGAAAATTTACAGCATCAAATCATGTAACAATATTTATCAATAATGAGTATTGATAAATATTGTTTGTTTTTTATGTCGAAATATTCGAATTATTTAATAATTTATTAAGTAAAGGTGGTTTTAAAAAGACGTACTTTATAAATGCACGTATACATAAAAATAAAACTCATTACAGTACTGCTAGCTGTATCGTACTATATTTATGATATTAGTGCGGTAAGTTTGTTTGTAAATAACAATTCCGCGCGAAAGTCATACAAAGTTTTTCAACATATGTATTTGCGAGAAAACAGTAAGTAATGAAGCTAACTTTTTTGAGAACAAAATGGCGTGCATTTTGGCGTGCAATTCAAATGGTTCATATACATCTTATATATAAAATTCTCGTGTCGCGGTGTTTGTGGTTAAACTCCTCTGAAACGGCTTCCCCGATTCTAATGAAATTTTGTGTGCATATTGGGTAGGTCTGAGAATCGGACAACATCTATTTTTCATCCCCCTAAATGTTAAGGGTAATCCACCCCTAATTTTTTTTTCTATTTTAGATATTTTTTTTTTATTTTTTTTATGATACAGCATTAGTAAATACATATTATAACCCTGAATTTTCAACCCTTTACAATCAACTCCAATTTTTTTATGGCGATACGAAATTCGGTGGGACAGCTAGTATAATATAAACATGTGTATACACCAGAAAAGGTAAGATCAAGTGGTAACTGTACAGGATTAAAACCTGTATATACCTTTTTCCATACACAATAAAGAATTTAAAAATATATTACCAAATGGCGTAACTTTTTTTGTTGTATTAAAGTGTGTCTAAAGTATAAATTAAAAGCGCTTCCAATTACGTGCGATAGAAATTTAAAAAAAAAAACTGGTTTCCTAAAACAAAACGAAATTACTATTTAGCTCTGACAACCATCCTACAAACTACATGAACACTATATACTGCACAAAATTTTAATTTTCCGATTTTTGGGCAAAGTTTGGGATATAGTACATGTCCATCAGTGTCTAGTTATGTCGTAGGCTAGTACAGTAATTTTCTCAAAAAATGATGTGGTGTCGTGGGACACCAGGTAGGAACGAAGTTCCTTCGGCTAATGTAGAATCGACACAAATTGCAAACTCGCTTGTGTATGCGACTGTCGCGCCTGCGCACGTCTCATTTAACGGTTTTATTCCACGCACTTTTTTCCACGGATTTTTTCTTACGGTTTTACTATCACATTTTTTTCAGTTCGGTCGCGCAGCAAAATCCCTATCCCCTCCAAGCCTGCCGTAAGGAATTTCGTTCCAACAATGCGCGGTAAATAAAACAAAAGTTGAAAGAACTCAAAATTCTGGAATATCTTTAACGAACCACAATGTTTTTTCCTGTGTTGAAGTGGCCATTTGTGTTTTTTCTCATAAAGAGCTTTCTATTTCGACATCCAGTTCGGAATTCAAATAAAACCTTTGATAAGTTACCTCTTTGGTTGCCATGTTTAGGAAAAAAGATCTTTCCATTTTTTAAATACACGACATCAGTAACCCTAGCACGAAGCAATATCGAAATCGTATCGTTTGCGAGTCCGAAATGTCATTGTCAAATGTGTACTGATTTTTAGTTCTCGTTGCGTACTTTGTGCCGCTGCTGTTCAAGTTTCCATACAAAATTTGATATTGACATTTCGGTTTGCAAACTATTCGAATTCGATAATGGTTCCTGCTAGGGGTACAGTGCTATTCTGTAAAATTTTCAATATACAGTGAATATTTTTTTTATATACACACACTTACCATTTTTCTAACGAAGAAACCTACGCCTAATCGTATAAGTACACCAAATTTTTTTTTTTTTTTATATATAGATAGGTCCGACAAATGACTTCACCCCACCTGATGTTAAGTGAAGGTGAAGTCCAGACGCGAAGATAGCTGATACAGCAGTTCTACCTGCCACACCAGCCATCCTCACCCTGCCGGCCTGCATGTTGCTTCTTCACGCCTCTTTTAAAGGATCCCAGGTTGTAAGAGGGAGGGAACACGTGAGCGGGCAGAGCATTCCATATATAATATAGCATCTTCTTAAAGTATTTTATGAGCTACATTTATAACCTGTAGTATATTAATTATAACCACCTACCAATAGAATATAGCATACAATATTTCCCTATTACTTGGGTAACAGTTGAGCAGCTACACATGATTCTTGACATACAATAGCATCCTTGCAAAATGACATACACGCACTACAATAATGAGTTACCGGCATTTACGGAGCTAATGTTTTTTTTTTCTTTCTATATGGCTTCGCACGGCTTGTGCATTCAGCCAATGTCAAGTGTTAAAATGTTTACAAATACTATGGCACTCGTGGTCAAAGTAATAAATCAAGTCAAAGTAAGACTTGACTGCCAGTCAAGTCAACCCCCTTTTCCCTATGTTTCAGTAAAAGTGTAAGGATTTACTGGAACCTCCCCGTGGACTTCTTGAGCTATTTTTTTTGACAGCGCTGTTTCTAGTCGAGTGAAGCAAGGCCAATCAATTACCTATGAAGTCACTTTACAATAATAAATGGCGTATGAACGTTACAACTTATAGAATACTTATTGTTTCATTTCTTTCCTTTCACACGATTATCATAACAAATATAAATCAGCATTTAGTTTGATGCAAGTATTGTATACTACATGTTTTATACATGTACCTATACGAGTGTGAACAAAACATTAAGACATTCTAAATAAAATATAACTAGAAAAAAACACATTGTGACATTGTGGGTTACCTATAATGCAAAGAGATGGCGCTGCCTTGCAGCTTAAGAATGGCTAGAGGAATTTCGACGCGGTCCGTCAGGGCCGCGGTAGCATAATTGGTCAGCATTCGCCCGGATTGCGAAGGGTGCGGGTTCGAGTCCCGTCTGCTGCCTGGTTCGCGTGGAATTTTTTCTAGTTATATTTTCTTTAGATTTAAACATCAAGCTTTAAAACATGCTTTAAAAAAATTAAAATTATAAAATTAAGACATTGTATAATGTTTGTTATGTATTATAGCTTGGTCTCAACAAGGGGTTAGCCTCCTTGAAACAATTCCTTCTATCGCACCAAATTAATCATCTCGTAGAGGAATAACGGTACTACAATATACCTAATCCTATTGTAATATTGCAGACTTTCATATACGTAGGTAATAATTCCCAGAGGGAGCGCAATCGAGAGGAAAAGATTACGATTTTTAACTTTTACGAGGCATAAGGTTTGTTACTAATGCAGTAACTGTAAGGTTAACCATTTGTGACTCCATACAAAGTGGATATTTGTAATTCTGTTGAGTGTATCAGTAAAAAAAAGAAACATAAATTTAACGTTTCTCTAGCAAATATGACGTCTTATAGACAGGTGACCTCACGCGGCTCTCAATAAAACATTGTTTTATTTAATAATAAGATGGATGATGACTTTGAATGGGAGCTCGACAATAAATAGTACACAAACAATATCGCGAGCACCCACTTTACTCTAACAAGAAAAATAAAATAGTTTAATCTTCTTTCGCAAAACTACGGTATTCAAATGAGGGAATGAAATTGACTCGCCGGTCCCAGACATATTAAAGGCGGTGTTGGCATTTGCACCCAGCCTCGCTTTCACGACACTAATGTGCCTGCAATAGGCACTTACTTATTGCAGTCTACTGGAGTACATCCAAATTTCTGGAGGTTGTACTCATAATTTCAACTTTATTACTATTGGATATGAATCAAAGTGTATTGAGGGTTTAGGTTAGGGAGATAAAAAACAAACAAATAAGCTTTCGTTATATACTTATTAATAAAAAACATTTATAAAAAAGGATACCTTAATTATAATTTTTTGTTCATAAAAAATTTATAGGCACATTGATATTTTTTTGACACGATTCTCTAAACCTAAACTTTATCCTTTTCATTCTCTATACGGAATGAAAGGGAGAGATTGATGTTAAATTTAGTTTTAAGTTTAGAGAATCACGCCAGAATCGACACC